AGGCCATCGAGATACATCACAGCTTGGTCGACGATGGTCCGGCAACCCTCCGCGTCGGACGCTTCGCCGTTCTCCGAGTGAAGTTGCCCCTGCATCCACAACAAAAACATCTGGTTAGACATGCCGCAAATGGTGGAAGACTTGTAAATGCTCCACAAGGCTCCTAGCCGCGGTGTGATTTATCAGCCTGAGATCTTTGACTTTTTCTGTATTCTTGTATGGTTTTTCTTGTTGTGCACATTTGGATCAGTTACGCAGCATTTTCTAGGCTTTAAAAAAGCATACGGATAGTGCTCAATCAAACATTCACAAATAGATGCAGAGACTTCTAGGAATGGAAGATCCGATGCATTCCCGCTTACCTCCACTGCTTGCGCGCTGGATCTTGTTGTCTCCCCCACTTTTCGGCCCCTGTTCACCGCTGCTTGCGCTGCAGTAGTCTTGCGGCGCCCGCCTGGTCGTTCCTCCTCTGCCTTCTCTTGCAGTCCGCCAATCTCGGCCCCAGACACCTCTTTCACTTGGCTCCATGGCTCCCCTAGTTTTTCGCGCTGGAACCAGACTTCAGCTGAACCCACCGAGCTCCGGTTGGTTCTTGCTACGCTGATTGTGAGCTTGTCAGCACACTGGGTGACGGGACCGAAATGCCGCTTTACGCACTCAAGACAAAGAGGCCAGCGCTTTTTCTGACCCCTGGCGACCGATTCGGGTGAGCTGATTACAAAGCCCTTCAATGCATGGTTTTTCCGGAATGTGAGTTGGTAGTCCTTTGTCACAACTGTTTGTTTGCAAAGTGGGCACTTGGTAGCTAGTGCATTGGCGGGGATGGTTCCGTAGGCTTGTGGATCTACAATGATGTTGCCACAGCTAACCTCCCTCTGACTCGAGGTGTGCAGTCGGGCCGGACTGGAACCCGGGGTTGACTGCATGTTCCCCGAGCTTTCTCAAGATGTCAAGAGGGGTGGCCGGACTGCTTGCTGGTTAGCGATGGTTGTCTCTGATGGAGTGCTAGACAGGTCGGAAAAGACTCAGATGCGGAAGAGGGCCGGTTGGAAATGAGAGAAATGAGACAATATCCGACCTCTTATACCCTGATTTCCGGGCCGCAGCTCGGAACAGTTTCGGACGCCCAACAGCCTGCTTACTTGGCCTGGTTGCTGTGTTGGCAGACTTTTTCGGACGGCCGGTAGCCTGCTTACGTGGTCGGGTGCTCTGTTGGCAGGCTTCCAGAACGGTCCACTCGATAGTACATATTCGGCCGGCGGTCCGGTGGTTTTTTCCGTGAGACGGGTCAGACTGCTAACCCCCTCGACGGCCCCGGGCCCTATATCGACACTATCGGCACCCGGACCGATCCACTTCCGCGCTGCACGTCCAGCAGGGGGTCTCGGTCCAGAATTCCTCTGCGGTACATGGTCCAACTTACCGGCACATTGACGGTTCTTGCCTCCGGAGAGCCGTGCCGGTTGCTATCAATGCCGTTGATATGCCGTTTGGCACGCGCGCGCAATCTGGGCCGTAAAAATAATGCCGTTGAGCTGATGGTGAACCCTTCGGAGGCATGCTGCTTCGTCGCGCCTGCATGCGGCCGGCGTCGGCAGGAAGCAGCTGAGGAAGGAGACTCGCACACGTGGACGAAGCTGCATGACCATGTGACTATACTGAGTGGATTGCCCACTACGAAATCTTACCTAAGCCTAAGGCTATGGTTACCTATGAAGGCTATAGCTTATCTATCTACTGACCCGGCTGATCAGAAGAATGCGGAAGGAGCCTCACAGAGGCACCATAAAGCCAGCTTTTGTCACCTACTTTGGACCTTTTCGAAAAGGTGCAACGAGGGACCTCAACAGGGTAGGCTTCACTTCCCAGTTTCGCAGTGCCAGCTGCGTTTCAGCTGGAAGTGCCACCACGTACCGCGTGCGACCGCCTGTTTTCTGCTGCCCATCCCGCCACATTGGGTGTTCATTCCAACGCCTCTTGCGCTACGACGTGGTGTTCCCTCTCCTGCTCTGGAGAGTGCATTTTCCTCTGCTTTTGCCACCATTTGGCACATCTTCCTCTAGCCCACAAAGAGACACAACTTTTTGCCATCACGTCTAGTCTCCAGCGCCGAGTCCAGCTTTTCTGCTGTACGGAAACCCAGCCTCCTCTAAACCCCAGCATTGCTTGTCTTGTCACCTCCACACGCCCACAATGCCGACCATCTGTCCGCAGGGCCTGTTGGCCGGTCTGAGGGGCAGCCCAAAGACCGTTCCCTGTAGCTATTTGTACGACAAGAAGGGCAGCGAGCTCTATGAGCAGATAACGGAGCTCGAGGAGTACTATCCATTTAGGGCTGAGCAAGCGATACTGGAAAAGAATGCAGATGACATCGTGAGTCACGTCCCGAAGGGGTCGGTCATCGTCGAACTGGGCTGCGGTACCGCGAGGAAGACGGGACTGCTGCTGTCAGCTCTGATCAAGAGGTGAGGTGGCGCCTTTGGAGGTTTTGTTGAGCGCACTATGCAATCTTAATGTTTATCCTTCCTGTTTCTTGCGCTTTGAGATGAGGGAGAGCTCAGCTAATGGGGACCTTAAATTGTGGACTTTTCAACACACCCTTGTTTTGAGGGTTTGTTCATCTTTGCCAAGTGCCGCTGGACCGACTGCTACTTCTAGGTCCGTCAGGGGAGTGCTTGAGGTGAAGGGGAGTGCTTAAGCACGTTTAGATGTCTGGTAACTTCCTGAAGTGGAAGCGTTTAAACTTCAAGGCCTTTGGGCACTCCCAAAATTTTGCTGACTGGTGAAAGATTCACGCTCATGTGTCAGAGTAGCTGGAGTCAAGGTCTGCATGCATACTGCTTGTTTGAGGTCTTTGGAACGTGGGGGAGCGTCAGAAAGCTCCCTCCCATGCATGCGACACATCTTACCCTGAAATGTGCTGATGTGAGACAGCACCCACGGTCAGTTTGGGGTCTCCTTACGCATCTCTGATGTGGGCGCCTGAGTATAAGGGCGCAATGATGCACTGGTGGTATCTGGGTATTTGGGAAATGGTAGTTTGGAACCAGCCTTGGTCAATGTTGTTAAAAGGCAACTTTGCCAGCAATGGGGTTAATTCAGCGCACCTTCGCCCAGCTTGTAGGTGAATAAAATTTGTGGCCTAAGCGGGACAGATATGTCCCATCTCTCCTACTGCACTGGCTTTACCTTCCTTCCACTGTACTGAAAATGGCACTGGGCTCCTAGGCACTGGGATGCAATCTGTGGCCTGAAGTCTCAAAAGCCTCCGCCCATCTTGTGAAATGTTGCAATAGGTAGGCAGAGGAGGCTACTTGATGTGCCTACCCAAAATTTCAAGTTGTCCCAAGTCTCGTTTTCTCCTCATGAACGGCTTTTTGCTTCAGCCCGAGCCTTCTAGGGTCAGCTTCTCGGGTCTTGGTGAGCTGGTCGCATTACAAAGGCTTTCCATGCAGTCTCCTTGTTCCTGGTATCATTTCCATCTAGCACTGGTTCACGACAACCCACAATTGTCTTCTGTCGTGACACTCTCTTATTTATGTTAGTCACTTGGGCTTCTTACCCTAGTATACAAGCCCTCCCAAGTCTTAGCTCTGCTGACAAGTTGATCACAACAATGCCCCCAGATAATCCAACTTTGCACCTTGGAACAAAGTATAACCATGTCCTGACGTACCACCTTCAATCCTGTCAGCATACAGGCCCAATTTGATCGCCTCAGTTTTACTCCACCAAGTAAGAAAAAGCCCCCAATGCTTTTTACCCTTTGCAGAGACGGTGCCAGCAAATTTGCGGGCATCGACGTCTCCGCCTCCTTCCTGGAAGAGGCCAAAACGAACCTGATGAGCTTGGTGACTGGACTGAAGGCCGAAGACATCGACTTGGTGGAAGCGGAGTACATAACTGGGCTCCAGAAAGTTCGACAACTCCACCCAACGGAGAACCTGTGTATCATGTGGCTGGGCTCGTCCGTGGGCAATTTGACCAACGACGGCGCCGCGCAGTTCTTCAAGGACATGCTCGTGGCAGCGGGCCAGAAGAGCCAGGTGCGAATTTTTGCTTATTCTTGTAGATTGTGGGTGTCCTATCCTCGAAGAATGTGGTTTCGTAACCTGCGCGGGTCTAGGCAGCATTCTGACAGTCTCTTGTTCATGGAAAGTCTGGTAGATTTTGCACGCCACGTTTTAGCAAGCAGTCTGGCATACTTACGCATATTCTGGCTCAGAGCTTTGGTGGTAAGAGTGGTCCGGGACGAGTGGGTCGTTACGTAACGTCGTAAGACATACTAGGGGAGTGAGGCGTTAAGAATTTCAAGAGAACTGGTCTTGTCTTCTGGAGACGCGGAAGGAGTTCATGGGTAGAGGGAGGAGCGAAGGACCAAAGACAATGGAAAGAAGATCGTGGGTGCGTGGTTTACCACCTAAAAAACCTCTACTGTAAGATGGAGTTGCAGGGATGGACAGACGCCACGGTTTGAACGTTACGACTCGTCTAAGTAGCAGGAATGCTTCATACTGTTCTCAAGTCTGTCCCTGATCTTCTTTGCATCGATCTTTTGCCAAACAGGCTGTTTTACTGCTTGGGTCCATGCTGCTAGAGGTTACGTCTTTTGCGCCCATTGCCACTGATCCACAGCCCTTTCTGCCAAGGTGTTGCCTTCACTTCTAAGCCTCTCACATATTTCAAGTCGACCTGTGAGCCTCTGACAAACCAATCTTTCGTGAACTTTCTAAGATTTTTGAATGCAGGTCAATGCCTGACGTTCTCTGCAGCACTAGTTAGCTCATTGCAGCTTGCATACGAATCATTTCTCTGAGAAGTGTTTGTCGATTGTTATCGAGGGAGCTCAGCAGATTACCGTGGTGTCCCAAGTGGTAAAAAACAACGCTTTATTTCTTCAAAATGATTGAGACCTACAATTTCCCGTTCCGAAGTGGGCTTTCGTTGTGAAAAGGGGGTTCTTAGAGACGCACATCCTTCCTGAAGGCATTCATAGTTGCTGTCGGACACTTCGGACGCCTCTGTCCACACGAATTTTACATCTATGACACTGTCTGCTTCGTCATTGATGGCGGTCGAACCCCTACGCCGACTACTATTTGCAGGTGTTTCTCTGCACGGACCTGTGGAAGGACAAGAAGGTCCTCCACGCAGCGTACCACGACAGCCGCGGCGTGACCGAGGAGTTCATTCTAAACGGCCTTCGCAACGCCCTGCTCAGCCTGGGGCTCGCCCCCGAGCGCCTGGACGCCGCAATGAAGAACTGGGTCTACGAGGTCGTCGTCTCGGCCAAGATGCGGCGCGTCGAGATGTGGGTGCAGTTCAAAGAAGGGTGAGGCGCCATTTCGGACCCAGTTTACATTGTGCTCTCTTGTTTCTCTGCCAGAGACAGGCTGTGTGGGCTAACGGCCTCTTACCTTGTTGAAACTGTGGCAAAACGGGCGCGACGGAGTTATGCACGAGCCCAGTCGGAATTTTGTATGAACGTTGCTACCATGCGGCGGACACTCTGGCACAACGGTTACAGGTTCTACTCCGTCCATTACCCGCTTTGCAAGAACGTTACTTTGCCGTACCGGAACACGGAACATCCGCTCTTCAGCCAAAACTCATGGGACTTTATCGTGTTCAGATCCGTCCTACTGTCAACTGCTAAATGTGTCAAACACCCCAATGCATCCTTATCTAGAACACCTGTTTCGAATCGTACTTAAGCAGTATTCGCCCCGTCCTTACTTCAGGCTGGAGGTTTTCCCCGGCAAGAATGGCGAAGCGATCCGGATCGCCCCCGGGGAACGGCTCCTGATGGAGCTGTCCCGCAAGTTCACTGTCGGGGACATCAACCGGCTGGCCAGCGTGTCGGGCTACTACGTCCAAGCAGCGTGGCGCACGCGCCAATACGGCGTGCAAATGCTGCTGCCCATGCAAGAGGCGCTGCGGCGGTGCTGGCAAGACACGGACGACTTCTTCCTGAAGCAGGTGAGGGTTAAGCGCTTGATTTCCAATTCTGGGCGCTTTGCCAGTCGCGTCTTTGCGAGCTGAGCGCGCTTTGAAGTTGACGTAATGGGACTGGGTTTGTGAGGTATGATGGGGTTGGGGCACTCCTTGCGACACATGTCTACTTCGCCGCTTTGCTCAACAGAGGATGGCCGTCGGTTTGAGCCGTTTGTATTCATCGTACTTTACCGCACGTCATATGCGGGATCCCGCAAACTATCTTTTGTGGTGTCGTCTAGGGATCCCCGTTTTGGGGTCCCGAAGCATTGGCCAGCTATCGCAGGCCCTGCTCTTCAAACTTCGCATGCTTTCTCCATTTTCGTGGTTGCAGCACAGTTGTCCTTGAATTCTGTGAGGGTTTCCGGTCCGTAGGAGCCAGGGAATTATGAGTTGTTGCACAAATTCTTGGTGCTTTAGGCAGGGGGACCAAACACCCCAGATAATTAGGTTTGCACTCTGAACCCTGTGCTAGCAGCCAAACCTCTAATTGCCCCAACCCGGAAATTGGTGGAATCAAACCTTCCAAGGGTCTTGTTTGTAACCCTTGAATTTTGCGTTGGGGCAACAAGAGGTTTAGGAGCTATTCTGTGCTGATTAAGGAGGGTTAACCAGGTAAAATTGCTATAACTACTTGATAGCTAACCGCTAAACCCAATTTACAAGCCAACCGGGGTCCACACAGCGCTCGGGACACTCCCCAAAGCAATCTAAACCGTTGAATTCAAAGTTTTTCATCATCGGATGGCGCGAAACATGGTTCCGGCAGTTCGAGTGGGGTTTGGTACCCCTGGCTTTAGGTTGCTCAGAACATTGACCAACCTTTGCCAATCTCCTCACAAGCCCTGTTCTGCGCTCCTCGCCCAGGTGAAGGACTGGTCCGTGCAGCCAATCAGCATGCGCCACCCGTTCCTGTTCTACTACGGCCACGTCAACTCGTTCACCAAGATCAAGGCCCTTCCTCACGTCACCCCCTCCCCCGATGACGTCACCTTCTCCCGGGGAATCGACCCGGTCGTTTTGGACCCGTCAAAGTGCCACTCCCATCCGGAGGTCCCCCCCCAGTGGCCCTCCCGAGAAGAGGTTATGCGCTACGTCGCCCATACGCGCGAAGCGGTTATGGAGGCGGTCGAGGCGCATAAGTGCTCCCCCCGTATGCTCCAGATGGGCCTGGAGCACGAGCGGATGCACCAGGAAACGCTGATGTACATGCTGACGCAAGCGAAGAGGCTGGAGTGGGAGAGGGATCCCCCCGCCGAGCTGCCGCGCGCGGTGGCGCTCGCGCGGGACTGGGCCAAGAAGTGGGTGCGACCTGATGTGCGGGTGCTGGCTGGGAGAGTGGTAAGCACAGAGCCTTTTCTTTGTGGTACCTTTCAAATCGAAACGGCTTTCTAGAGAATTGGGACTGTCTCCGCCCAGTTGTGATGGGCTCATGAGATGGCAGGCTTTCTTTTTCAGAAAATGGACTTGGGGGTTAGTGGCGTGCTGAAGGAATGTGGAAATCTAAAAACTGAGAAATTTGAGTGAAGCAGAATGTTGGAGGTATGTTGAGCAGCAAGCTGGGCGATAATATTTACCGCAAATTTTCGAATCGACATTAGTAGCTCGAGGAGAATCCGACCGCAGGTCCGTCCCTTTCTTTCTAAGAATGGTGGAATATGTTCGTCAAAACCCTTTGTGGATGATGCGAAGGTTACCCTTAAAACTAAGGCACGAAGTTGAGCAGCGGGTCGCTAGCCTCCGCAACTCGATAGGTTCATCGACACGTGGCATTACGAGATCTAATGGATGTCGTCTATATTTGCAGACATTGGGCGTGTCTGAGGACGATGCCGGGGCGTTCGTGTGGGACAACGAGGGCCCGCCCCTAGAAACGAGCGTTCCGCTCGACTTCATGGTCGCTTCCGATCCGGTGACCGTCGGCCAGTGGCGGAACTTCATCGTCGAGCGGAAAGGCTACGAGATGGACCAGTGGTAAGCTGCCGCAGCGCTGGTATGACTTGAAAAAATCAAAGGATTGATCTACAACTGTCAAACAAAGCTTTGTGACGACTGACCTCATTACTTGGACTCAGACGGCGAACTGTCGTGGGGTTTAGATGGCGAAAGTTTGTTTGATTTGAAGGATTGAAGCAACATCTGGGATGTCTACACGGAGGACTGCGTCCGTGCATGCCTTATCGCTTTTCTTGTTGCGAGCAAGAATGTGAGATGCCGAATAGGGGTTTTCATCTGGCGTCTACGGGAAGCAACAGCATAATCTTTCAGCCTCTGCAACTGCTACGCTTTTGATGTCCTAGCTCATCTTGGAGGTCAACGCAAACGGGGCTTTGTCTCAGCCAGGGTAAGCTAATCTACACTTATCTGGAGCTTTAACAGATTCTTCGGGCGGCCCCGCAGATACCTTACCATCCACGACCTCTCTTCACCAACATTTTGAATCTAATGTGAAGTGCCCGCCTCTCAGGTGGGACGCCACCGACCTCGCCTTCTTCCGGGCTAACGGCCTATCCCAGCCTGCCACGTGGTCGCACGTCAAAGGCGACTTTTACGTCCACCGCCCAGATGGGGTCTTCCACTGGACGCAGGTAAGAAATGCCGAGTGGCCCTGTCGTTCTGTGAACGCCATATCTGATTCTAGTCCAGGTATGCTCTTTGGGTTCCTATTTCCTCGACATTCGTAAGTCCCTTACGCGGTTGCTAATGTTCGACCCGACTCGTTGCTCACAGTGGTGGTTAGCTGCATCTTGAGACCTACTTTGAGCTTATGAACAGGAAGATTCTGATCAACGATGATAAAGCCTGACAACACCATGAAGACTGTATGAGCAGATCATCGAACACATTCCTGGAGAGAGTCAGGTTCTCGTGCACAGCAGCTTCTCGAACGTCGACGGTTATTCCCTCGAAAGTCCCACCTTGCGGAACGAGCCCCTCGAGAACCGACAAGGTCAACAGCCGCCACTTGATGTCAGAAACAATCCCTCTTTGCAAAGAGATACCCGATGGAAAAGTCCCTTTCGTACTTTCCAGGTCGCCCACGAGCCGGTGCTGGTAAGCCTAAGCGAGGCGCTGGCATTCTGCAAGTCGCTGGGTTACCGGATCATGTCCGAGGCCGAGTACCAGCGCGTCGCCGACACGGACGTCCAAAATCGCGTGCGCTGCTTGAAGGAGGCCGGCTGGGAATGGACCTCCAGGTAAAGATCCCCGATCTAGTTCTTTTGCGCTGCTATCTGCTTTTAAAACACACTCGTCTTTCGGACCGAAGAGGAGTCTAGTCGTCAGCGCACGTCAAGAAGGCTTCTGTCTCGGTTCTTTAAAAGAGGGTGAGAAGCTTTTCGTGTCGGGGGAGAATGAGCTGCATTGCACCTTATTAACGGGAACGCCGCCCTGGAAAATGGAGTCGGGGTTTGTTGTCCGGGCTGTGCGCTTGCACTGGTCTTATCGTGTGATCTTATCGTGTGATCTTCAAGCGAGTCCCGATCGGCGTTGGCCGTTACCAAACAGCGCTTCAGTGGGGTTTTGCCGAGCGTGCGTTCGAACTCGAGGAGACCTGAACGCTGACCTGATAGTTTGAACGTATCACTCTTCTTTTGCGTCGCAGATTTTTGTCCGTCCGACACCTCCTTTCTTCTCAAGATATCCAAGTTCAATGGGACCAAATGTCAGTCGTCAAAAAGTCCTGCTGTCCGTTGCGTTGCATCCCTTTGCATTTGCAGTAATGGGAAACCTGCCTGACGTCAGCTCCGGCTTCCCCCCTGCAGCCGCTTTGCGCCCTTCCCCGGGTTCAAACCGATGCCGGAGTACCCCGAATACTCGACCGACTTCTTCGATGACTGTCACTTTGTGTTGCGCGGCTCGTCAAGCGTTACGCACCCGGCCATGAAACGCGACTCGTTCCGGAACTACTACCAAAAGCAGTACCCCTACATGTTCGCCAAGTTCCGGCTATGTAGCTCCGTGCATTCCGTGGCGGGGGGATAACGCTAGAAAAACTAGGGCGGGTAGAAAGTGCTGAAATTTGTGTAGGGGTCTCGTTCTTTGGTTCTGTCTAGTGTAGAGTACTGAGTCTGACGACCTACTGTAGTGACACTGTTGTTGTGGGGTTGCAATTTTGTGGTACAACGAGAATCCTGGCACGTGGCCAAGAATTGGGCACGGTCAATAAGTGAAAGGTCCGGATTAAGAGGCGAGTAGTGACTTAAATTGAACTTATCGCGTGGATGGTGCACTTGCGCCCTTTCGTCGACTTTCATCTTCGTGTAATCTAGAGAGGCCGTGTGCACACAAACCTGATGGCCTCGCATATTCTGGTAAACTAGTCAACTACTTGGTTCAAAAACTCGATTCTTTTGAGAGCGATTCTTTTTGTCGTCAACTGAGCGCGAGTCTTTTTACCTCGTCAAGTGAATGTTCGCTGATTCTTTTTGGTCTATTAAATTACCGAACTCATACCTTTGCAGATGGTATTTTTCATAAATGTCTAGTGCCCTTCTACCGCGGTGGGGGATCGGGATGTATTATCACTCCGATATGATGCCCAGATCCAACGTGTTTAACTTCGTTTCATCTTGAGTACGCCTTTATTGTACACGTACTTGTGCAATCATTTTGTAGTATCTCTCGATACTTTAAGTCGACGTGATCCGAAATGAAAATAAATCCTGCTTCCAATCCGTACGATCCTTTGTTTAGAAATAGCCACTCATCAAGCACAGCTTCTTAGCAACGTCACTGTCCCTGTTGCTTTGGATCAAGAATATATAAGAAAATCTAAAGCTAGCTATTGAAACGTTC